TAATTCTTTTTTCTAATTTTTTTCAACAGCTGCCAATTCCAATGAATTCAGCTAGGCTAAAGACAAGACATACTCTATCTCCCTCTGTCTGCCGCTGTTCCCGCGTCATGTTCTTCTTCATTCTCTTGCCCCATACCCTTTCACACTTACGCGCTGTTTGCTGTCGCTGCCACTGCCGCCGTTGGTGCTGCTGCTGCCGTTGCTGCTGCTGCTGCTTCTTCTTCTTCTTTTAGCCGCTTTGACCAAAGTTGGTTAAACACTCGCGTTTCGACTGCAACCGTTCACCGCATTACAACAACAACGACTAGTAATAATAATAGTAGTCGTAATAAAAACAACAACAACGTTTGTGAAAAAAAAAATAAATAAAACGGAAAAAAAACTCAACTGCACACAAGAAGAACAACAACAACGAGTTGCTGAGCAAGAGGAAGAGCTAGTTGCAGAAGATTCATAAATAACAACAACAACAACAAAAACTTGTCTTTTGTTGCCTTCTTTGGTTGCTTCTCTGCTTCTCTTGTTTTATTTGTGTATTATTTATTTATTTTAATTTTTTACTATTGATTTGCTTGCATTAACTTTTAGATTTTATACAAATTTTGTTTGCACTTTGAGAATTTGGTGAGTTCTCTAGCCTCTCTCTCTCCTCACGCCTCGTCGGTGTGTCTCGGTCTCGTCTCGTCTCGTCGTGGTTTGTTTTTGTTTTTATGATCGGGAACACAAGTCGCACAAGTGATCGATGCCGCCTCTGAGTTTGTACTGAAATGGCCAACAGACGATGACGATGGCAGCTGTTGACGGCGACGTTGGCAGCGACGCTGGCAGCGTTGATGGCAATGGCCAAAGCGACGGCTGATTCCCGTTCCTGGCCAGAAGCGCGCATCACATCACGCACGCGGCACACGGCACTAAAAGAGAGCGGCGGCAGCAGCACACACACACACACACACATACCCAAAGAGAGAGAGCGCGGCAGAAAGAGAGGGCAACAGAGCGTGAGAGCGCGCGCGCGCAAAGCGGTGAGCGCAAAAGCTAACGGCGAATGAGCGAATGAGCGAAGAGGAACAGGAGGAAGAGCGAGAGCGAGCGCGCATAGACAATGGCTGATCGCACACGTGGGCCGTGGGTCGTGGGCCGTGGGCCGTGGGCCATGGGCCTGCACATTTGTTGTTTATTTTTTCTCTTATTTCTTTTTTGATTTTATATTCTGCTTTTTGTGGCTGTCCATCAAAAAGGGCTCAACTGCGCTTCGGGCATACCCTGTGATTAATTAGCAAATTATGTTGGGCAGTCGCATAAGTGAGAGGACAATGAACTCTGGATGGTATATGGAAATTGCTTGCCCATTGGAAATGCCATTTGAAATAATGATCAACTCAACAAGTTAGGCTCAGCAACTCTATAAAAGCAAGTGAATACAGCGTATTCTAGTCAAGGCTATACATAATACAGGGTATTCAATATTCTGTAAGGCATTTTGCATAGGGTATTTTGTTGTTAATTACACGAGTAGTACAAGGTATTTTATAGTTGAGACAGGAGTACATAGTTACTTGAAGCTAGTTTTTAGCATAGGGTATATTCCAGTCTAGACTATCAGCAATACAAGATATTTAAAAGTCTAGAATAGCAACCACTTTGTCCCACTTTGTCCCCAATTTCCATTAGAGCTAAGCACAAAGTCAATTCCATAGTAAGCTAATTTTAACAGGGTATTTAGTAGTCATGACTCATGACCATAAGCAATATAGAATGCCTTATAGTTGAAACAAAATTTCATTCTAATTTGATGCTACGATACAAAACATGTCTTATGTGTATTTTTTAATAATATGTATACAGGGTATTTTGTAGTCAGGAATATAAATAATATAGAGATTTTTATAGACGAGACAAGACGAGCAGCTATTCAACTCATCCTTGAGGCTACGCAGCAAAGCAACTTTGATCAATTTCATTACAGGGTATCTCGTAGTCTAGACATTGCTCCCATTGAGAAGGTTGATTACTTACCGCTTGGCTGCTGCTGCTGTTGCTGCTGATGTTGCCCCTCGACAGCTGCTGCTGTCGCTGACCCGCCGGCAACATGGACTCGACGCCCTGCATGATGACGCTGGCGCCAAGGAATTTGTTGAGCAGAGCACGTGCCTCGCGATCCTCGGCGCTGTCGCCGGGCTCCACCACTGCGTGAAGAAGAAGAAGCAGACGTTGATCAGACAGTCGACCACTAGGCAAACCGATTGCTGGAGCACTCACCATTGTCGGCATTGCGCATGCGCTCGAGGACATCGTCGACGCTGCTCACAGCTCGCTCCTCGCCGCTGGTATTGAGGAATGAGCGGGTGCTGGAGCTGGTGCGCGTGGTGCTGCTGGTCTGGTGCTGACGCATCTGCGGTGCCTCCAGCTCGATGACGCTGCAGACATCGTTCGATTCGCTGTCCTCTGTCGTCTCCTCGTCGGCCAGCATCGATTCCTTCTGTATGAACCGTTCGCTCAGCTCCTTGATCGAGCCACGTCGCTTGCCCGACGGCGGCTCAATGACTGCGGGCATGCCCTGCACATCGATGAGCTTCACCTCGCGCTCCAGCTTCGTCGTCTGTCCATCCGGCTGGGCGGTGTCCAGCTGCTGCTGCAGCGTTACCAACTCATCCGGATTGCTCGAGTAGATGAGCTCCTTGCGTTCATGACGTGGCGGCGACTTGTCGTCCGAATAGAACTGCTCCTCGATGACATAGCCTGTGACTTCTGTGGAACAAGAGCGACTTAGCTTGACTTTGTTATGCAACCACCGAACCACTCCATCACTTACCTTGCTTTGTCTCACATGGCTCCATCGGCGGCTGCGTCTTCTTCTTGAGCGCCCTAATGCCAAAGAGGGGCAGCCCATTCTCATCGGTTGGGCCGACGCCATAGCTGGACGTAATGGAGTCCTCCTCGCGTCGCTTGCTGCTGCTGCTGCTAGTGGTGGTGGTGCTGCTGCTGCTGGTGGTGTTGCTGCTGCGCATCACTCTGCTGCTGCTGCTAGTGGTGCTGGTGTTGGAGCCTTTTCGCGGGGTGGGCGAGTGTGAGCCAGAAGCTCGCAATACCTTGCTACGATCCGCCCAAATGGGACTTGGCTTCTCGTTCGGATTGACCTTGCCTTGCTTGGTGGTGCGTGTGGTGGTTGTCGTTGTCGTGCTCGAGGACTTGCCCGTTGGACTGCGACGACGCGTTTGCACTGGGCTGGCGCTGCGATCCCGAGGCTTCACCGGTGGCTTGCCACTGTCCAGCTGCTTAGTGCGACGACAAGTCGTTGTGGTGCTGGTGGTGGTGCTGCCCTTCGCCTCCGGGCTCTGGCTACGTTCACGTGGTAGCTCCGGCATGCGTCGCACTGGCATTGGACTGCGGCTGGGCGTCGAGCTCTGGCTTCTCGGCTGCAGCTGCTCGGACTGCCTGCCCCTGGTCGTTATGGTGGTTGTGGTGATGGTGGTGCTGCTGTTCGCATTGATCATGTTCTTCTTAATCAGACGTATCTGGGCGCGAATGCGTCGACGCAGCTCATAGCTGCTCACCGTCTCCAGCAGCTGCTCCAGCGTCTGCAGATCGAAGATCTCCTCAATCTCCAGCTCATCGGTGTTGGTGGTGCGCACCGCCTCGGGCCGTGAGCCGCGCTTCGGCACATCGAATTTAACGGCCGCATTTGGGTTGCGTGGCTCCAGCATTGTCTCATCATCCACCGAGGACTTACGGGAATAATGCGTCTTGTTTATCTCCAGCGAATCGCGACGAATGTGCTCCAGGGAGCTCTTCGTGTGATCCATGTAGGAGGGACGACGTCCGCTCGGCTCAGTGGTAGCACTGGTGGTGGTGGTGGTGGTGGTGGGGCTGGGCGAATGCTTTTCAAAGATGTTGCGACGTGAGGCGACGGTGCGTCCGGGCGATGATTGATGGGTGGGGCGGCTGCGGTCTAAAAGTGGTTCAACGTGTGGTTCAGTGTCAGGGGAGCTGGCAAGGGGAGCTTGGTTAGTTGGACTATGGGTTCGATTGGTGGTTGTTGTTGTATGCTTGGTGGTGCTGTGCTCAGTGCTCGCTTTAACTACGGTGGATTTCGAATTGGTGGTGCTGTCGGGCTTGGTGGTGGTGGCGGTGCGTCGTTGTGGCGACATTTGACGTGGACTGCCACTGTGGCTATGCCTGGGACTGTGGTTCAGCTCATCCACATCACTTGGCAACCACTCTTCACCACGCTTGGTGGTGCTGGTGGTGCGACGTGTATCTGTCTCGGTCTCTGCAGTGTAATCGGTGGTTGGGCTTTGCTTGGAGCGTGGCGACTCGAGCGAGGGCTTGCGTGGTGCAGAGGCACCGCGTGTGGTTGTCTTTGTGGTGGCAGCGGTGGTGCGTCTGCTTGGAGATTTGCCCTTTGGACTGACTGGTTCATACTCCTCGACATCCACATCAAGATCACTGTGCACCCACTGCTCGGCACGATTGATTGTGGTTTTAGTGCTAGTGGTGCTGGTGGCACGGCGTGTGCCTGTCTCCGTCTCCTTAGGGTAATCGCCGCTCGGTTTGCTACGCGGCGACTCCAATGAGGGCTTGCGTGGTGCAGTGGAGCTGCGTGGAGCTGACTTCGTTACGTTGGTGGTGCTAGTATTAGGGGCGGTGCGTCTGCTTGGAGTTGTGCCCTTTGGACTGACTGGCTCATACTCCTCGACATCCACATCGAGCTCGTCCTGCAACCACTGCTCACCACGCTTGGTAGTGATTCTGGTGCTAGTGGTGCTGGTGGCACGGCGTGTGCCTGTCTCCGTCTCCTTAGGGTAATCGCCGCTCGGTTTGCTACGCGGCGACTCCAATGAAGGCTTCCGCGGTGCAGTGGAGCTGCGTGGAGTTGACTTTGTTATGTTGGCGGTGCTGCTGGTGGTTGGACGTCGGCCTGGCGCTGTTGGCTGCGGGCTGACGCTGTGGGAAGGTGGAGCGGGACCCACCTCCTCAACATCCACGTCCACATCACTGATCACCCACTGTTGCTGGGTTATATGCTCCCTACGCTTGGTGGTGCTGGTGATGCTACGCTCTGGCTCGCTTGGCTTGCCGCGTGGTTGCTCCAAGGAGGGTTTGCGTGGTGCAGCGGTGCTGCGTGTTGGTGAACGTGCACCCGGACTCGAGGCTGGAACATTCTGATTGCGATACGATTTACGTTCCTCAGTTATGAGTGTGGTGCTTGGACTGGTTGTGCCGCGTGGTTTAGTGTTGCCGTTGGGCGTGGTTGGCTTGCGCTGATTGAAGACCGAGGGACGGTTGAGTATGTCCTTCTGGCGCTTCAGCTCAATGGCTGTTGTGTGGTGCTTCGACATGGGCAATAGCTCGTCATTCGACTCCAATGGCTCATCTGGTTCCGCATCGGAGGGCTGCTCCGGCTCCGATTCCTGATCCAGCTCCGGCTCGCTCTGGCGCGAGATGTGACGCTCGATGTTGGCCACCAGTCGTGGTGACTTTTGTGGTGCGCTTGGGGCCAGCTTCTCGGCGGTGTCAATGAACTTGTGCACCTTCTGCGAAACGCTCAGTATGCAGTCGTCCTGACGCAGCTCCTCGTCGATGTCCTCAAAGCTGGGACGTTCAATTTCGCGCGTGGGCGTGGTCAACGGCTGCTTGGTTATATTCTCGGCGGTCTTCAAAAAGCGATCCACCTTCTCATCAATGCTCAGCAAGCACTCATCGCTAGCCGAGACCTTGGCATGCTCATCGAACTGGCGGCTAAAGGGTGTCGAGGATTTCGGCTGCTTCACCTGCTCGGCGGTGTTCGTGAACTTGGTCACCTTCTCGTGCACACTCAACAAGCACTCGTCCACGTCGATTCCAGGCTGACCATTGCTTGGATTGGCTGTTGCATAATCCAGACTCTTTGGCGCCTCCACGGTGGGATTGTCGTGGATGTCCGCCTCGATGCCATTCGGATTACGCAACTCGGATATCTGGCAGCCCACATAGGCATTGGCTTCCTCCTCAAAGATGGGTATATTCGTGACAATGGGTTTCTTGCGCGGCTCATCATCCGGCTCCTGTACAGTGTCGGGATAGCGCGGCTTGCCGGTCTCCACTTCAGCTGGAACCGGTGTCGGAACAATGCGATCCGGTGATGGCTCCCTGGAGCTCTTCGCCTGCTGTATATCAATGATGACATCCTCCATCTCCTCGCTATTGATCAGCTGCTCACTAAGGTTGATGGTTCGTGTGGTGAAGCATTTGCTGGGACGATTACGATCTGCGTTAGGTCTCTGAGCAGAGTTCGGGTTCAAGCTGCTCATCTCGGGTTGTGCTGGCTTGGGTTTGCCATTGACAACCTTGATGACATTCTCGCTGGTGGAACGGGTCACCTTGTCCTTGTCGCGACGGGTAACGCGCGGCACTGGCGCCGATTCCTTGCGCTCCGTCACCGGCAGCTTGCGCAGTGGACTTGCTGCAGTCTTGGGCGTCACTTTGCGCTCGGTTTTGGGTGATGGCGTCTTGGGCGCTGTATGATCTATGATGATCTCAGTGTGCACTGAAATGTTGCTCGAGCGACGACGCTCGCTGGGAATACGCGTGGGGCTCGTATCCGGCGAGGAGGACTCTCCGTCCACGTCGTCCGTTTGGGGTTTCTGTTTGCGAGGCGACGAACGCAAGCGATCCTTGATATTTGGTGAGTTATTGCCATCACTGGGCTTCCTATCCTTGCGAATAGTTGTGCTTGCTGTGGAGGTTGTCGTGCGTGTCTCCTCCACCAGGCTATCGCGCTTGGCAGGCTCACGTTTAGGCAGCGACTCCTTGCGTGGACTCTTGACTGTCTTGGGCTGGGTTTCCTTCACGGGCTGTTTGTTGGTGGTGGTGCTAGTGGTGCTAGTGCTGGTCTTAGTGGTGCGTGAATTACGTCGCTCGGTTTCGATCTTGCTGGTCGAGGGTTTTCTGGAGTCTGGCTGCTTAGGTTTACCTTCCTCTGGTTCGCTATCGTAGGGTTGCTTCTTCGTCTTGGGGCCCGAGGCGGGTCCAGTGGGTCGTTGAGTCTTGCTGACCTTCTCCAACACGGTCTTGCCATTGCAATCGATTATCTTTTCGGTCACAAAGTGTTTCGTCTCAGTTTGTGGCAAAGGCTCCTTGCGTGTGGGCGATGGCGACTTGGAAGGGCGTTTAGTTATCACCACAGTTGTCTTCTCGCTTATGTACTCGGCATCATCCTTGGGTAGCTTGGACTTTGTGCGAGGCTCTTTATCATCCTTTGGGCGACGTGGGGATTCGTCGTCCCTGAACGGCTTACCAGCTGTGGGCTGCTTAGCTGTAGGCTCGTCATCTGGATAAGGCGAATACTCCTTGCGTGTGGGCGATGGTGACTTGGCAGGACGCTTTGTCATGATTATGGTCGTGTCATCGCTCACTTTGATAAATTCAACGTCCTTGGAGTAATAATTAGGTGTCGGACGTGGCTTGCATTCATCTGTCGGCTGTCTACCCGTTGGCTCCTTAGACTTAGGCTGGTTCGGTTCGTCATCATCCTCTGGATGAGGCATGGGCTCTTTGCGTGTGGGCGTGCGAGTCGTGGTAGTGGGAGTCTTTGACGTACGCTTCGTTGTGACAGTTGTTGTTTCTTCTTCAACATCAACAAACTCTGCGTCATCCTTGGGATGTTTATCCTTAGGTTTTCCACTGACTTTTGGACGTGGCTCATCCTCGTCCTCTGTATCGGCCAAAGGCACTTGGCGAGTGGTAACGATAGTTGTTTCTTCTTCCACATTTATGTACTCTGCATCATCCTTGGGCCATTTACCAGGCGTAGAACGTGGCGATGTCTTATCCTTAGGCTGCTTACCAGCCTTCGATATTGGCTCGTCCTCGTCTTCCGAGCTAGGCAGAGGCGCTTTACGATCAAGTGTTGGCGACATGCTTGAGTGCTTCGTAATGATTGTTGTTGTCTCTTCGTCTACATTTATGAGCTCGGTCTCGTCCTTGGAGAGTCTGGTAGACGAGGGACGTTGGGGTTTTTCATCCTTGGGCTGTTTGCCACTCTTAGGACGTGTCTCTTCCTCATCCTTGGGCCATTTACCAGATGTGGGACGTGGCTCTACCTCATCCTTGGGCAGCGGACCTTTAGGCGACTTAGACGTACGATTCGTTGTTATCATAGTTGTCTCCTCTTCCACATTAACGAGCTCCGCATCATCTTTGGGGCTTCTTTGCTGTGGCTTATTCTGATCTGGCTGCTCAATAGGTTCTACCTCATCTTTAGACTTACGGCCTCCGACAGGGCGTGGTGCATCTACACCCACAGGGTTCGGCTTCTGTTCGCCGACCGTTTTCTCTGTGCTAACCACTGTTTCGATTTCCGTCGTCTCAGTGATCTGCACCGTCTCTGGCTCTGACAATGGCTCATCGACTTTGATGACAGGCTGGGTGCGTATGACATACGTTTGGGTCACGCGCTTAGGCTTATCGTCCTCATCATCGTCATCGGGACAGTCCTCGATTTTAAACTCGAAAGTCTCTGTCTTCTTGACTACCGTTTCTGTTTTCTGCTCATCAGTGTGATCATCATCACCCTCGGGCTTTGGCACGAAGCTGCCCTGCGTATCGCCATCCTCTTCCATGCCCAAGATCTTGCGACAGCGATCTTCAAAGGTCTCGCGACGAGTCAGACCCTTCTTGCGATAGGTGGGCTTTTGATCTTCCTCCGGCTCAGGACTCTTTGATATGAAGCCCCCGTCAGGCCTTTCGGGTGACTCCCATGAAGCTGGCTTACAGCTAGGTCTATCGATCATATCTTTGTCCTGGGGTAGTCTCTTATCGGGGATTTCCTCAGGCTTGCGTGGCTGATGCTGGCGTTCGTTTGTTATAAATTCGTCATTAAAATTTTTCGTTATATTTGTTACTCGTTGGGTCACAGTGCTTCTGAAGAACTCATCCTCTGGGAACTGAGTGGGCTGTTGCTTGTCGTCGGGGGTCGGCTTACCACTGGGCTTGAGTGGAGCTGAGCCAGGCACTTGTCTATCAGGAGACTGACGTGGCTTATCAGCGGGCTCATTGCCTTTAGGCTTCGGCGAGCTGGGCAATTGCTTTTCGGGGCTACCCGAACGAGGCAGTTCCTTGTTCAGAGTTTCGGGTAACTGATTGTCAGGACGCGAATCCCTAACCACCGTTGAGGGCAATTGATCATCGGGACTCCAGCGTGGCGAGTCCTTAGGTTTAGCAGCAGGAGCACTACCTGGCATTTGCTTTTCGGGGCTAGTTGGACGAGACGCTGGCCTCGATGGTGATTCTTTCGGCTTTGATGGAACTGAACCTGGCAGCTGAGTTCCAGAGCTCTGAGGCTGCGATTCTCTAGGCAGCTGCTTTTCGGGACTAACCGAACGTGGCCGAGCAGCCGGTTGCTTCACAATCGAGGGCAGCTGCTTCTCGGGACTCTGCCTAGGCGATTCTTTGGGCCTCGACGGAAATGCGGCCGGTATCTCCCTGGGCTTATCGCCACCTTTTAAGGGACGCTGCCTGACCTCCAAGCTGCTCTCGTCGATAACAATTTGGTCATCGATACGCGTGATGCGCTCCGGCGAATAAGCACGCTCTACATCTGTCTCAAATGTGGATTCTCGCTGCAATGGACGTCGTTCGATGCTTGGCGATTTGGAGCTACGCCTRGCTACAGTTGGCACATCATCATCGTCATCGTCGTCATCCGGGATGCTGGGTCTGGGTGCATGGGGACTTCGCTTGCTGGGCATGGCTGCTGCTGGGGATTGGGGGGGTTTGTGGTTGTTTGGTTTTCTATGCTTTTTTCTTTTTGGAGTCATATAGGCATACAAGCTAAATCGTGCCACGCTCAAGGACCGGTTGCGTTCGAGTGCGTGGTGTGATATTGTGCTCAACTTGCTACGTTATTAGAGAGACAGAGGTTGTTAGTGACGACTACAGCAAGAGCTACGGCTACGGCGGAAATCAACTCATCGGCTATTCCATATTGCTTGGAGTGGGTGGTAGTAGGTTAATAGCTCTACGGTATTAGCTTGGCAATTGAGGCAGGCGAGCAGGCGTGTTAGGTCAGGCAGGCAGGCAGGCAGGCGTAACAGGCGTATATAGTTCATTTATGGAGTTAATAGGCACGGGGTACGGGACTTTTCCGTAAGACAATAATAGGAGGTGTCTACATGTTTTAGTATTACCGTTAGTTTGGCTAACCCACCCAAAAATACTTGTACGTGTGTGTGTGTGTAGGTGTGTGTGTGTATGTGTGTGTGGGTGTGTGTGTGTGTGTGGGTGTGTGTATTTCCAGAACATAGAACATAGCACATTCGCAGTTTTTTTTTTTTTGTGTATATTTTTATATTGTTTTAAATAATTTTTATTAGCAAAGATCCAAAAAATATATATATAGTATATATGTATATATATATATGCATATATGTATTTATCATGTGTAGTTAAGGTAGGTTTATATTAAAATTGTTGTTTGTGGAGCAGAAGAAAAAGTTGCACGTTTTGTTGTTGTTTGTTGTTTTGTGTGTTGTTGTTGTTGTTTTTTGTGGGACTTTTTTGTTTTTGTTTTTAGGCCTTACCAACGGTTTCAGTACTTGTTACCGCCTTGGCTATGTCGGCCACCTGAGCCGGTGCTTCGCTTGTCGCATCGGCTGGGCCCAACTTGTAGTAATTGCGACGGACACAGGGCGGTTCGTGTACGGCGCTCGTTGTTGTTGTTGCTGTTGTTGCCTCATTTGAGCTCAGCTTGGTTTTTGTTAGCAATTCGTCGTTTGAGGTTGAGGTTGAGGTTGAGGGTTTCTTGTTCTTGGTTGTTAGTGTTGTTGTAGTTGTTGTAGTTTCGTTGTTGTTGTTGTTGTTAATAGTAGGTGTTGTAGGATTGGTAGGTGGCAAAGAGAATATATCGGCTGGCTTAGTAGTAGCATACGTATACTGTGATTGGTTATCTGAAGGATACATTCATATACATAGATATTTCCGAAAATAATAGATATTATGTATGTATGTGTGTGTGTGTATGTGTGTTGTATTGTATTGTATTGGTTGTATGTGTGTGTTTATATATATTCTTTTTTTGTTGGTCTAATTCGTACCTGTCACAGGAGACGGCTCGCTAGCTGGAACTGAAGTTGCTGTTGGAGTTGTTGGAGTTGTTGGTGTTGCTGGCTTTGCTGGAGTTGCTGGTGTTGCTCCAGCTGGCTTATTGCCAATCGTTGTTGTTGTTGTGGTCGTTGTTGTTGTTGTTGATTTCGCTGTTGGCGATTTGGGCAAACGCTGCGGCGTTAGATCAATTGTCTCATTCGAACCCTGCACGCTGCGTGTCTTGACAACAGTTTGCTGCTGCTGCTGCTGCTGCTGCTGCTTGCTAACGGTTGTCTTGGCAATGGTCTTGGGCACGCCCACATGTCGTGTGACTGTGGTGGAGCTGATGCGACTCGACTCGGAGGGCGCATGGCTGTCGTGGCTGCCCTCGCGTCCAGACCGGCGATTGGTGCTGCTCGACGAGATGCTCCAGCGCGGCGCCTGACGCTGCGGATGTGGCTCCGGCGTCTGGCCGCTGTCACGGCGTGGATGGTGATGGGAGCCCGTGGAGCCAACACTGTCGGCTGGCGAGCTGCTGCGCAGGGAGGCAGCAAACGCACGATGCGCTGCATCCACTTCGCGCTCCTTCTGCAGCTGACGGCGCGTCACGGTGTTGGTGGTGGTTGTCGTCTCAGTGGTGCTCCGGCTGGGTGGTGTGCGTGTGGCAGCGTTGGGCTTGCGAGTCGGCGACTTTGTCGGACTGTCCTGCGGGCGCCTTGGACTGGCGTTCACCTGCTGTGGACGACGCTCGCGCTCCACCTGCGTTTCAATGATGCGCTCCGGTCGGCGGCTCGCGCTGGAGGGCAGCTCGGCGTCCGGCTGGTCTGTGCGCACCGAGGGGAAGCCGTGTGTGCTGAAATCCTCGACGTGCGTCGGACGTCGCGGACTCTGTGGCTGCTCCCAGCTGGGCTCGAATTCCGTTTCGACGGTGCGCTGCGAGGTGGTGCTGCTGCTCTGCTTGACGTTGCGACTCTTCTCCGACTTCACCACCACGTACTCCTCGGTGGTGGGTCGCTGGCCGGCAAACTCCTGCGTGGGCTTGTTGGTACGCACCGACGGGAAGCCGTGTGTCGAGAAGTCGCTTGGGCGATTCGGCGTGTTGGGACGGTGGTTCGGGAACTCCTGTATGGGATTCGTTGCCCTTGGGGATGGAGGAACATCCGGTCGGCCGGACGGTTGCGGTGCTCGATCATCGTACTCCTGCACGGTTTCCGATGTGGTCTCAGTGGAGTAGCGACGACTTGACTTCTTCACAGTCGAGTAGCTCTCCTGCTTGACGAGCTCCTCGGCCGTCTCGGAGGGACGACGCACCAACGGCTCAGCATTGTCCACCACGTCGCGTGTCTCCTGCACGCGTCGCTGGTTATGCTGAGTCTGCGTCTGTGTCTGGGTCTGGGCCTGGCTCTGGCGGACAGAGTCCGCCGTGGGAGTTACCTGCTCTGTTTCGTAGCGCTTGTTCTTGACAATTGTGCCGTCGGGCAGACGCTTGACCGTGGTGATCATTTTGACATTGGGCTTGGGATACTCAACCGTATTGGAGATGATCTCACCTGGCTGTGACATCAGGTGCTGCACATGCCGTTGATATTCCGGCGATGCCTTATCCATATCCACATAGCGCTTGTTCTCCTCGTAATGCTGCTGTGTCTCCACGTTGCGTGTGCTCTTCAATTGCTCACGGCTCTCGGAGAAGCGCTCCTCCCTCTGTTCCCTCTGCTCCCTCTGCTCCTGCTGCTGTTGCAGTCGATGCTCCTGGAATCGTTGCTCCTGCACACGCTGCTCCTCACGATCGCGCTGCTCACGTATTTCACGCTGCTCACGCAACTCACGCTGCTCACGCACCTCACGCTGTTCCCGCTGCTCC